CAGACTGGAGACATCCCGCCTCTTTCTGTACCACAGGCTCAGTGCTGGCCGGGGGCAGCTAAGGGATTCCTATGACTGTGGCTGTAATGGGGCAGCACGGCGCTCTCAACATGGGGCAAAATGCAATGGGGGGGGAAAAAAAAAAAAGGCGACCAAAACTGAGTACAGAATCCATGTTTCTGTTTCTGATAGATTTTTGTAAGACTAGTGAATCCTTGGGAAAAATAAACCATCAGCTTTCTCTCCAGAAGCATAAGGTAAATCCAGCCCAGCGAACAGCACGGGATCCCAGGAAGGGAAATGGTCATGAATGGCCATGGTTCATGTACCATTGGTCACTCAGGCCAATGCTACATGAACTACCTGCAATGGGCCACATTCTCTTGATTTCATTTCTTTGTTTCTTTCAAGCCAATACCCGCTGCACCCCCTGAAGTCGGCTTCGCTCCCCCCCAGCCATGGCACATTCATGGTGGGCAGAATCACCACCACCTTCTCCCCGATGCTCAGCCAGAGCTGATCAGATCTGCCCAAACCCAGGGCAGCGGCTGTTCCCAGCAGTTTGGCATTAAATCTGAGCCCTGTGGTGTCCTTAAGGAGCCTGGACRGACGGCTCTCCTGCTCCGCCCGGGCGGCCTGTCTGCTCTGCCGCCTGCCTGGCTCGCGGCCCGGCCCAGGCGCCACCCCTGTCAAAACAGCAGAAGGGGCCAAAGCGGCAACGCTCTTCTCAAAGGACAGCCCTAGTACCACAGTCACAGTCCCTCTTTTTTCAAGCAGTCCCCCACTCTCCAGCTAAAATGATATCTGAGGCCCGTGCTCCTTTATATCGCAGCGTTTCTGGTGACTTCCTTGGGCTCCTTCACGCTGGGGCTCAGGCGGATCAGCATTGCCAGTGTTTCTTGAGGCTGGGTCACTGTTGTGAAACCTCCGTGCTTCAATCCTAATTGCACTCACATGAGCACACTGCTAATACTGGCTCTGTTTTATATCGTAAGGGTGGGCCCTGGTGCCCAAATTCACAAAGGTGTGCAACTTCCAAGCTGGTGGAAATGTGCCTGCAGCTTTAGCTCCCACATTAGCGGAGAGCATTTATATTAAAATCAGCAGCAAAGGCTCCGGAAATCATTATTTCCTTGCTATTGCAGTAGYGCCCCTGTTGTTGCATGGCTTGAAGAGCCAATCAGTTAGAAATGAGCCCATTTAGAGCAACGAGCTAATGAGAAAGGATTAAGCCCAACAACAAAGCAAGCACGACTGCTATCATCCCGCCATGCTCAAAGCCACAGGCACATTGGACAACAGCACCGGTTTGCTGTTTCACTTGCAACACGAGCTGAGGTCGGTTCCACACTCCTTTTATACAGAAGAAACAGGGTATATACATACTGCTGTGTAAATAGGAAGGTTAAACAGTGTCTGGTCCTGTAGAATTGGTCAGAAAAAGCTACAAGACGCTAGAAAAATTGGCTGACATTCTCCATTTGCTTTTTTTAGGCCAATTCCCTATCACCGTTGCTCCCATAAATGTGTTTCTGCGCCCTAGGGTGTGCTTAACTGCCCACATGCTAAATTCTCCATAATCCTCTTTCCACAGACAGCAGGAAAAGCTGTCTTCCAACTTCAAACGCCTATCAAACTGTACATACTTATCACGGATGAGCAGTGCTTTGCAGAGCTAAACACTGAAGTACCAGGCATGAAGCAGCCAAAGCAACTGGAGGGTGGTGGGTTCAGCAGAACTTCAGACCCAGGAGCTTCACCAGAAGGGTGGAAAGAATTACACAGATTAAGAAGGTCTGGCAGTTCCTCTTCTCGAGCTGCAACATGGAAGCTTCCTTCCTTCCGGAGTGGTAGCTGCAGATACTGTAAGTATGACAGAAAAATACCATGAGCTCTTTCTGTCAATCTTTTATTCCCTGTCGTCTTTTCCTCCAAGAGACCCTGCCAGGGGCAGGCGGTGCCTGTGGAGCTTCCCCTGCGCCAGCCTGAGCTCCAGGTTTATCTTCCACATTGGCTGCACTAACCATGGGAGAGCTGATCCCGCCCGCACTGCAAGGACACACTTTGCTTCACGTCTGCTCTGCTCCTGGCTCTACACAGAGGGAAAAAGAGCCAGGAAGCTTTATGCCTGCAAATGTGACGCAAGGCTGCCTAGAATCAGGATTCCCAAACAAGCCTGGAGATTGTGTGTGCACCTGTGTCTCACTTACAGAACCTGTTTTCGTATGTTCATATTTTCATGAAGCCTTCARGGACTGAACCAAATTGCAACCAGCCTTTCCCTTCAAGCTTGCTCTCATAAAATAAAATATCAAAAAGTCGATCTGGAATGTGCAACTCTTCAGGAGAAAAAAAATACAGCCAAACAAGCCTGTAACTGGTCACTAGTTAGGAAAATTAATCCACTGCAGTACCAACAGGAGAAAAGTCAACCATTTCAGAGTGGGCAGGACATTTTAAAAGCCCTGGTGGATCAGCCAGGAGAGAGGTTTTTAGACAGCAAGAAGTGTGACCACTCAAGAAGCATCTGGAGTGCTGGCAGGTCCATCACAGCCATTGAAAGAGAAGCTCCTAAAATGTTTTTACGTATCTTCTGTAACCAAAAGGAGAACTCCTGCATGGTCACGGAGTTCTACCTTCTTCACTGATGAGAGTTAATTAAGAGAGGAGTGAAGCTGCTTTGCAATTGCAGAGAAGTCCTAGGGCGCAGAGAGCACAGACCTGACCAGCACTCTTAGGAAAACAGGAAAGCAAAACTTGGGATACATGAGGCTCAGCCATTTCTGCAGCAGGATTCATCCATTCATCTGCCACAGATTCTCTGCAAAGATGTCAAGAAACTGTAAAATTCTACTGTTCCTGGTGGTTGGAACATTTTTATTTCCCTGTTAGGAGCAGGAACTAACTAAAAATAATTCAGCTTTGTGCCTTTTTTTCTTGTTTTTTTAAAATCTTCTCTGAATAACACAGTATTTTCTTTGGTGTTTTATGTGTACATTTGGCATCTTTTTTTTTTTCTCAAGAGTACGCAGTGGTTTTAGCTAGAAAACAGGAGCCAAAGGTGACCTGAAGAATCCCTTACTTTAGCTACTAATAGGGAAGCTGGGGACTGGTGGTTTTATTCCCATGGGATGGCTGGGGGAAGAGACCTGACTCAGCTTCGCAGTGAGGAGAAAGGAGGCTGGGCCTGCCTTGTAAATACAGCCTAATGCTGATTCTAAATTGTATCTTAACTGCTTGTAGTATTTTAGACACACACAAAGAATTGTAGCAGAGTTGTAAACATATGATTAAGAAAAACTTTTGAGCTGTAGTGAAATGTTCTATTACATTTGCGGCCAGTTTCCTGACATGTTCAATCTATATTGTGACGAAAATTCAAGATACTAAGCAGTGAATTTGCAAACAGCATCTGCACCAAACAGGCTTATTCAAAAAAAACACAGAACTGCAAACACTGCCAATAACCCACAATGAGAAAAGTGATTTGCTTGTGGTTCCATATACTCCTACCTTTATACATCTTTTTTTTGTAGAAAAAAAGATATTATCCAAAAAGCAATTTAGCTTCTAGGAGAGGCATAACAGGGCATAATCTCTGCAGGGCTGGCAAGGGTTAAAAAATAAAATGTCAGCTGTGCTGCAGCGGTTTCTTCAGAGCAGCAGGAGGAAGCAGAGCAGGGGGATGCCTGTGCAGCGAGACCAAGGGCAGCGGCGCCGCTGCCGCCCATTCCAGCCGTGCGGAATCCCGCAGTGCTGGAGCCCGTGTCCGGGCTCAGCCTCTGCACTGCAGCCAGGAGGAGGGCTGCGGCATGGGGAGCTGCAAACAGCGGCTGCCGCACTAGTAGCCAGGCTTTATTCCCCGAACAGCAAAATCCGCGTGTCCTGGCTATGCTGCTTGCATGGAAAAGGGCAAACCAGGAGAAGGAGAAGCCTGGAATGTCTTTGGCACATCACAGAATCACRGAATGGTTGAGGCTCTGGAGACCTGTGGAGATCATCTAGTCCAAGGCCCTGTTCCAGCAGGGACAACGAGAGCACTGGCCACAGGATGGCATCCAGGCGGGTTTGGAAGATCTCCAAAGATGGAGGTCTTCACCCAAAGACCTCCATCCATGAACATCCAGATGTTCATGGTAAAAAACTTCTATCTAGCCTACCTGGGCTAAACTTTTCTGTATGTATTTGTGCCTAACAAAGAGGGAACCAAAACAGCTAAAAAAGTTTGGTCATAAGATTATTCTAAGTGTCTCTCTCCGTATCTCCCCCATTCTTCAATGAAACAAAGGCAGATAATCACTTATCCACCAAATTTGCATGAATACATTTTGATTTTTCACTTTTGCTACTTACTTTCTGTGTGGAATCTTAAATATAGCTTATTGGAATTGCACAGCCTGCTAAGGCCTCCTTTGACATTCACTAAAACTTAAAACTCAGACCCATCATTTATGTGACTTCTGTCCATTATTCCACTATTCTCCAAACTATCTTTCATTTAATTCATTTCCTTTAATTTTTTCTAGCTAGGAAAAGCTTCTCAAGGCAATTACATACTGCTCAGAAGCAATGATAATTCAACAAGGCAGAGYATTTATATTTTCATTTAACTCAAAAATAAAACAACACAATCCCAGAAGCCTGTTCCTGTTGTCAATTTTATTTGGAAGGTATCTACTATACATTTTAAAATATAGAAATAAATATGAAAGGTCTATACAAATATGAATATCAACATCTAAGGAGTACCAATACTGCACTTGATTTTAATACTTGTTTTTGAGACTTAAAGGGACAAAAGCTGCATCAAACACAGCCCTTGAATTTAGTAAAATAAATGCTACAAAATCTACGATTACAAAGGTCGGTTCRTATCTAACGGGACACTTTAAAATGCATTTTCTTCAACATATATGCAACCACAATGCTAAAGTTTGGTTTAGTCGCCTTGAGAATTTTGCAGTAAAGAGTGACCTAGCACTTTCCTCAAACAGGACAGAAAAAAAACAGTCATACTTAGGCTGTACTCAGATGTAGTATTTTGGCATTCTCTGTTTTAATGATATACTGTGTTAACACAGTATTTTTGAAATATGGTCCAGCAACTTCAAAGGATAAAATCTTGTCTCCCAGTAAAATCCAAATCATTAAAACGAACAGCAAGCACGCAAACAAAAGCCTTGGAAATGGGCATTTGCTTTTTACCAAACACAGTTTTCTCCCAAGCTTTAAAACATTTACTTTAGCACCACAGAAAATATTTTGGATATTAAAAAGATACATAAGTGAACTTTGSGAGGAGAGGAGGACATTGCCAATCATAATTTATAGAACCTTCCCCATACTGTGATTTTATTCCAGCGTAGGGAATCATCCATATGCACTTATGTAATACCACTGATTTACACAATTGAGGGCGTATAAGGCAAAGCAGGTGCCTAAATGACTGGAGGATAATAACTTGAACACAACTAATTAAGAAAAAAGTTTTTTTTTTTATTTTAGTTGACTTTCCTTGAGGAATCTGATCTCATCCCACAACTAAAGAGTTTCCAGATGTTAATTTAGGAACTGCAGATGAAATTTGCTGGCAATCAAAGGAAATAGTTCAGATATTTCCTGTTTGGACAATGACAGCACAGGCTTTAGCTCAATTCAAAGCTTTTTGTCTAAGAAAGGTGTTTAGCCTCACCCTCTCAACCCTATTTAGTAACTTACATAAAAACTCTGTTGGAACAACATGGATGTTTAGTAGAYTTTACGTGTGTGTACACGCACACACACACTAGATTTAGAGAGTAGYTGGGAAGAGCCACCATGTTTTTCAAAACTACTACTTTTTAAAGTGAAACAAGTTGTACTAATTCTGCTTTTCTTTCCTTCAAAATAAAGCATTCTGAACTGAAGCATGGTACTAAATGGGACCCTCATTTCCGCTTCCAAAAGTACAAGTGCCTGGTTCATTCTGTCRAAGGGGAATCTGCAGATTCAATCAGTATGTGGGAGAATAGTCTGTTCAGCAGTAAACAGTGAACAGGGCTCTGCCTCTATGAGCCCCTGTTCTGCAGGGCTCCAGCCGGCTGCTCGGGAGCACTTCTGGCACAGAGCTGCTCCGTTCACCACAGGGTTTTGCTCAGTCTCCACTGCTACAGACTCTTCTGAGCATGCCCAGCAAAACTTCCCCCCTTACAGGAAGGAATTTCCCAGATTTTCCACGTACAGCCGAGGGTTCTGCACAGAAGGATCGCTGCTCGCCCGTACCATCTCTCCCAGAAGCTCCAGAAAAACAGCCCAAGGGAAGGATTCCCAAGAGCTGCGGGGTCTGGCCTGGCACAACCCAGTTCTAGGGGCCACGCTCCTACTGCAGGACTGCAGTCAGAATGGGTAACACTTACATTAAACAGCAACCATAGGTTTTAAAATATATATATATATATATATATAAAAGATATCATGAACATTCAAGCTTGCTGTATCATTTTTTACAAAGAAAACAAAACCCCACACTTTTAAGGAAGGAATGTATTTGTCAAAAATGAATTTTGTCCCATTATGAATGACTTCCTGAGCTTGAAGTTGAACAGAGGAAGAGCAAAAGCAAAGTGTCTTATATCACCAATTACACAGCAGTATCACTAAGGCAGTATTTTATACTTACATTTCTGTTATAAGAAGAGTTAATAAGTTACAAATATGACTTTGAGAACATTATAACTAAAGAGCAGTTTATTCAGAGCACCTTAATCTTCTTTTTGTCGTGTATGAAATCGTTCCATTAAAGCCCTAAATACGTTTCCAGGTATTTTCTGATGTTTGTCTATTAGAGACTGGACTGCAGCTTTTGCCTGTAAAGAAAAAGATAAGTTTTGGGGAAAAAACATCTTTGTATTGTTAGAACAAGCAAACAACTTCTGAGCTATTTTTCATCTGTTCAAATATTGCAGAATCACTTCAGGACCAAAATACTATTTTTCATATTTATGCCCTCAGGATGGGTCTCTGGGATCACTAGAGTCCAGTCCAAAAACAACCCCAAAAAAGTGTATGTTTTCTCTGCAAGCTCCCTGGCAGCTGTTATCACTGTGTTCACAAGCTCTGCTAGTGACAGGCAGCAAGTAGTAAAATGATGATGCACTAAATTAACGAGCAGAGCTAGATCCACAAAGCATGTCCGTGCCTGTGCACTGCAGCTTAACCCAGAAATTCCTGCCTGTGCCCAGGCTGGCAGCAAGAACACCTCTTGCCAGGRCAGTGCAACAGCACTGCAAGGACTTGCAGACACACTCCAGGAGCAGCACTGGAAATGCAGCTATCTCCTGTTCAATTCCTTTGGCTTTTTCCAAGTCATGATCCCTGCCATCCACTCCCCTAGAGCAGCAGGTCCAGGGGAGCATGCTTAGTCACACTGCAAATACTGCCTATGACAGCAACATTCACGTAAGAACACAGGAGGCCAAGAAGTTAATASCAGCCATTCCTATTGTATAATAGCTCTATTGGGAACATCCAAATCCAGGGCAATATGCAGAGATTTGTACGGACACAGAGCAACCTTCCCATTGCGTCCAGAGAAGCAAAGTCTGCTCCGTTCTTAATTCTTAAGGCAAAACAGTGACCTATTTGCTTTTTGTAAGCTGATGATCAGCACGCTCATTTGAGAGGCGTTATGCTGAATTTTGGCACAAGTTCTCAGTAAAGGTGGATTCTGGCACAAATTCTTACTGTTTATATGAAAAAGACAGAAACAAGTGAGAGCAAGCATTAATATTAGACTTCCCAGAAAGGCTGAAGGTCACATAAACAGACATTCTCAACCAAAAATCAGCAATTCAGAAGCTCTATCAGACTGAACCATGTGTAAAATCCACCAGAAAGGCTCACTTTTCCATAAACAGGTCATATGATAATGCAGATAAAGATTTTAAGATGACATTTTGCACAGATCTTATCAGAGCACAAATAGGTAACAAAAGACAACTGCGCTGAAACCAGTGTGGTCAAAATTAACAATTTCCTTCCCCTCATGTGAAGTCTCCTCAATGCTGATAATGACCATTTGTGAAGCTTTCAAAAAYAGATGCTGCAACCTCTGGCAGCCTGATGGCTTACCAGCTTTGTGTCTATGCACAGGAAAGCTATTCATAAACTCAAGCAACACAAAAACCTGGCAGTCCTCTCCAAAAACCACTTCAGGCTGAATAAGGACTGTGCAAAGCTGTGAAATGATTTGGCYTTAGTATTTTTAATGCATAGAATGTTCACAATTTGTGACCCAAGGCTAGCTAAATTTAGAAAGCTTCATTAGTAGCTTTCTGAAAAGGAAAAATAAAAAAGGTGTTTCCCTGAGTGTTTCTTTATCAACAGAACAGGTAAATGGAGGTACTTTTATCTGACTGAACTTCTTCAGGCTCTAAAGTGATTTGCTTCTCAGAGCAAATTGATAATAAAAGGCCTACAGCTTGTACAAGCCCAGTTATAAAAGATAACATTTAGGAGGAACATTCAGAATTCAGAGAATCCCAATTTGTCATGATTCCATCAACTGCTATAATAGGCTCCAACACAACAATCTCACAAGTATATTCCAGGGTTTTGTATTAAAACAGTCACCATGTTAAGTTATACACAAGATACACATCTTACCTTCGCAGTTAGTTCCTCAGCAGTTACATTTGGTTCATATGGAATAGGATCGCCAATAAACGTACGGAGCTTGACTGGAAATCCACCATACATAGGAACTATTGGCAATCTAAGATGTTCATACAGTGACCTAAATATTTCTAATGTGAAAGAATTTAAAGGGAGAGAGTAGGAGAAGGGACAAAGATGTGAGAGAGATGAGGGGCAAACAAGAAAGAGAGAAAGAGAGAGAGAGAGAGAGAGAGAGAGAGAGAGAGAGAGAGAAAGAAAGAGAGAGATACAGGAGAGAGATTAAGATTATTCTGGAAATTGCTTTTTCCTTCTTTTTTCCCCCCAGTATGTTTTAAAATTGAAACTAGTTTGTTAGATAATCCAACCCCTGCCTCACTTCTCAAGCAACATCTCAAATACTACTCTGCCCTTCACTTTCATCTAATTAAATATATATATATATATATATATATATATGTAAATGCTAATGTAAGACTTGTTTCACTTCAGAAGGAAATCTGTCCTCCCAAGAGCAGTTGCAGAAAGAAGAGCAGGAGAAAAACCCAGTAGCTCCTCTCTGGAAGGAGAGGCTACACAATACAGTTTATAGCTGAAGTAATCTTGCAGGTCAGTTTAATACACTAATATTGTTGGAAGACTGTTCAGTCCTACTGAGATCTAAAGGATCAGTAACAGTYATATCTACCTCTAAGACAGACATATTAAAATATTAAACTTGCTCTGATTACATGCTGGTTGCTGTGAAACACTACAGAAGGAGGACAGGAAAAAAAAACCCCAAACAAACAGGTTTAGTCCCCTGTAATTTTAATTTAATATTTAGTCCCTTGTGCAACTTCCTAAGCACTGACCAGAACACACTTCTCACAGAATAGGTGCTAACATCATCTCTCTCAATTTTAAACAAGAAATTTCTTCAATTTAGTGTTGGCCTAAGAAAATCCTTACAGCCTGAGATATGATTTTTTCTGTAAACAACCTTGTAAGAACCAAGAACATCACAAAACTGCTGTAAAGCTGCACTTGTTGGAACTGAAACCTCCCTCTATCAACAGCATGTTAGTCAAATCCCCCTAGCACCTCCGCTGTAGGATATAAGCAGCAGGAACACTTTGGGCATAGATTTCTATCTCRGGAAGATTCCGGTTAGTTTAAAGCCTTGCAAGCCCTAGCACTTCTCCTGCACACAGCAGCTGTTAACTGCTGCTCATTTTTGTAGAGGCTGAAGAACGTGGATCCTTCATTGATGCCCTCCTCCATGCAGGGAGCTGCTCCTGCACAGAGGGTAGAAAGGCAGGGACGTGCTTTGCCCTAACACCCTCTCATGGAGGTGCCCATGCCACACCTGGGGCAGAGCACACCATGAGGAAGAGGCTATTCCGGCCTTCCCTGACRGAAAGCAGCTTGGAGAAGGAAAGATGGAGAAGAGTTGGACACTAGCAGGTGAGCAGAGATGTGGGCATCCAACTGACCCAGCCAGGGACCTTCCGGGCTTGGACCYACCTGTCAGCGCGTCGGCTGGAATCCCCAAAGGAGGGAGGAAGGAGAAAGGCAGCAGGCAGATGCAAGGACCTTGTGCCATTTCCTAATTAGGCAGCATTCGTACTTCAAGTTTAAGTGCACGTGGCAGTGTAAGCTTTAAGATTTAAGGTATAAGCTTAAAGCAGAGCTTTAAGAGGTCATTTATAGAAAGGGTTTGCAACTGACAACTAATTATGCTTGCTTTGCTTCTTAACAGACAGCAGAAAGCCTAGAGTTGGTCTAAAACTAGCTGCAGTGTAAATGGATTTGCCTTTGTCCTGGCGCATTTTTCCCTCCTCTCTTCCACAACTATGTGCAGACCCATTGTTATGCAAAGAATAACTTACAGGAGCAAATAATACATTCTAGTGCTTGGATTAAACTAGAACAACATATATCTATCTCACTTAAGTCTACTGGAGAGCAAACCTCAAGAAATAAGAATGTATCAAATCTCATTTTTTTATAGAGATTACTTCTACAGATACAGGCTAAACACGCATGGAAAAAAAGAAACTACAAAAAATATAAAATATCTTACTTATTCCTCCTAATGTCCTAATGCCTTCTCGAACATTTTGTGTAAACATAGGAATGATGGGCTAGGAGGGAAAAAAAAAAAAAAAGAATTTAATGAAAATAGTACTATCTAAAAAAAAAGGAAAAAAAGATATCTAGCTTACTTAAACCCAAAGGGCAAATTAATTTAAGAAGTGTTTCCCAGACAAGGACACACAGAGAGCAAAACAAGATTCTAAAGCTGAAGCCATGAGGTTTCAGGCTGGAGAATAACATGAGCTGACAGCAAGTTACTRTTCAGAAAGTCTAATTTCTTCAAGCAGGGCAGCATTTTGGAACTTATGGAGCATACAGGCTTCCCCTCATCTAGCAGTATTTGTACTTTGGTGACTAAAGTGGTTAAACGTCTTGGCTAATTTGGAGCTAGGCTCAAAGGAAAGCATTCACATGACTGGAACTGTAGACTAGTCTGCTTTGTCTCTGCTCTGCTGGTTTTATTACTTCACACATAATGTGTCATTGCATAAAGAATCTAATTTCTGCAGAGGAATATTTGGAAGAGTGTGAATAGTTGTCGCTTTTATTGCTGTTTTGAAAGCTACAAAGATTTCTCAAGATTTACAAGACCTGCTGGGGGCTCTATTATACATGTTTTTTTAATATCAAATTATAATAGATGCTCATTTTAGCAGCATCATAAATATGCAGCTCTACAGGATTCTCAAATATCCAGATTCTTTCAGACTTTTTACAAAGCCAGAGAGATGAATTAGCAAGTTTGACTTTGCATGCAAGCTGGTTTTGGTCTTTTTTTTTTTTTTTTTTTTTTTTATGTTAAGGGTTGCAAATAACCCAGTGCAACTAGAGAGACTAAAAAGCAGTGCAGTTGGCTAAACTGAACAGTAACACATTTCTATATTCTCCACCAAGTTATCTCCCTTGCTTTCAACCTACCTCCAATACAGATCCTACACTAGYGCATCTCTCAACAATGGAAAACAGTGCAAAGGGAACCGAACATATATTCAAATAAAATAACTAAAACAACCATAGCTGAATCCCAACTATGGCCCTTCATATGCTATTACTGCATCCCAGTAAAATCTAGGATTTCATCACTCCTTTAAGATTTCCCCATTTCCTAGATATCCTGATGATAATATTCTTAGCTGACTCCAAAGCCTTATCAAAAAAGGAAAAAAACAATCTTGAAATTTAGTTACAAGAGCAAGTAGAGCCCACTGATGATGTTTAACAACATAACACCAAAATATTGGATAATCAGAACAGTTTGCCTGGAAAAGAAAGCATGAATAAGTTGCATTCTTTGCTTCTCCTCTGCGACAAGTCACACTTACCACTTTTGCATCAATGGCCACCTGAGCAAAGCCCTTTCGGTTACCCCACATAATGACATAGGTTTCATCACTGAAAAGCGCTTCCCGAACTCCACCGGGGGAAATGGCTACCAGGTGGCCCTTCTTCAGAGCACTCACACATTCTTCTTTTGGTCCATGCATAACTCCAAGTACATCAAGTAACAGTTTAAAACCTGTAGAAGACGACAGTATTAATTCAGAAAACATTAACTGGCACTACCATTGAGGACTCATTCCCTGAAAGGAACACAGTGGCTAAAGCTTAACTTGTCTAGGAAGCCATGTCCCCGAGCCAAAGGCGTTTCTGGCGAGGCTGAAGCATTAAGTCTGGCTTGTAAATTTTTAAATATAAAGTTGAAGGTTTAGTTTCCAGTTTCTTCTGATCAGTCAAGTCAAATGCTGAAAGTCAAAGTCACTGTCCAGGAGAAGAGGTGAATGGGGGGGAAAAGAGGGCAGGAATGGGAGAAGAAAGGAGGGCAAAAAGAAAGGGGCACAAAGCACTCGCTGCCATCTTCCCTGTGCCCTTTCAAAGGAGGTAAGTCTGCTCCAAAGCACTTTCTTTGCCTAAATCTCTATTTTTCAGATATAGCATAACCCTAGTAAACTCCAACAGCAAAACCAAACACCAAATTTCTGTGTTTTCTCTCTCCCTTGGCAAACAAAGGACACCATGTACAAAAGACAAATAAAATGCAGCACTCTCCATGTCCCACATCACTGCAGGTATTAACTCCACAGTTCAGTCCAAGTACACTCATGACCTCTCACTACAAACACCAGCCTGCACATACTCATCTCAGGTTGAGATCTTTTTCATCTACTGCTGAAGTATGTAAATGTAAAATTACATAAACACTGCATATCATTGATTTTGAAATGTCGTAATGACTCTGCTTTTCAGTAACATAAGAACATCAAGAATTGTTTACAAGGCTCAAATAGACACAGACCTGTGCAATTTAGACACCTAGTTAAATGTGAAGGAACGTTAACTACCAGCAACTTCATTTTTAAGAAACTGTCCAACATGCTCACCTGGCTCAATGTATTTTAAAATACATTTTAAATTCACTTAGCTTTTATAAATACCACACAATGAAATGGGAACTCCAGCTGACTGAGCAACAGGGAAAGTTTACTTCTTTGCCCATGTTTCCCACTGAGGTAAATGGAATTCTTTCTTGCTGTAGCCCACACAAATTAAGGCCGTGGGAAGGAGAGCACGTGTCAGCACATCACCAGTTTATTCTTAGCTGAATTCTGATCTCTACCTTTAGGTTTTGGTGTGAGCAATAATTATCTTGATTTATATCTATATGCAGCCAGAATCTATCCACAAACATGACAGCAGACCACAAGCCCTGCTGCAGATGAGCTCCCTGTGACTGTGGCACTGCTCACAGCTGCCTGCATGTGCCTCACACATGGCAGGTAACACCGGCAGCCACTTCCTTGCGGCTTCGGAGCAGAAGACTACTGAAATAAGGCTTTATTTCCTTAAACCCTTTACATTTCTTTCAGCTGCTTTGTTCAAGGGATTTTACATGGTTTTACATCCCCAAACTAGTTTAAACCCTTTGGAACGTACATGGCATTACAAAGTCACTTGCTCTAAGCTCCTTTCTGTCGGTGAACTGAGGGGAATTACAAAACATGAGGAAGAAGGGTAGAGCTAAAAAGGAAGAGAGACTCCAAGGAAGCAGCAGGTATGAAAATAGTTTTCACAAAATCACAGAATGGTTGAAGTTGGAAGGRACCTCTAGAGATCATTTAGTCCAACCCCCTGATCAAGCAGGGATACYCAGAGCACAGGGTGGTATCCAGGTGGGTTTGGAAGATCTCCAGAGAAGGAAACTCCACAACCTCCCCACGCAGCCTGTTCCAGGGCTCTGTCACCCTCCCAGTGAAGTTCTTCCTCACATGGAGATGGAACTGCCCGTGTTTCAGCTTGTACCCATTGCCCCTTGTCCTGTCACTAGCCACCCCTGAGAAGAGTTTGGTCCCTTCTTCCCTACATTCTCCCCTCAGGTAYTTAYACATACTGATCAGATCCCCTCTCAGGCTTCTCTTTGCTAAGCTAGAGCTGGGCAGAGAGGCAGGATCACCTCCCTTCACCTGCTGGCAACACTCCTCCTGATGCAGCCAGGATCCCATTGGCCTTCTTGGCCACGAGGGCACACTGCTCCCTCATGGTCAACTTGGTGTCAACCAGGACTCCCAGGTCCCTCTCCRTGGAGCTGCTTTCCAGCAGGTCAGCCCCTAATCCGTCCTGGTGCCTGGGGTTATTCCTCCCCAGGTGCAGGACCCTGCACTTGTCCTTGTTGAACCTCATGCGGTTCCTTTCTGCCCAACTCTTCAGCCTGTCCAGGTCCCTCTGGATGGCAGCCTCTGGAGTGTTGGCCACTCCACCCAGCTTGGTATCACCCACAAACTTGCTCAGGGTGCACTCAGTGCCCTCGTCCAGGGCACATCAATGCCATTCTATCAYTGATAAACAAGTTGAACAGCACTGGGCCCAGTACTGAGGCCTGCGGGACACCACTGGTCACAGGCCTCCAACTAGATTTTTTTTCCTTTCTGAAATGGATGCCAGAGTAGGAGGGAAATGACACAGCTCAGATCAGAAAATAAGATAACTCAGGCAGTTATAGGCAGTACTTTGTAATAGGAAATATTGACAGTGGAGTTTCAAGTTCGGTCTCCCAAGTCTTCTCATGCATCCTTCCCCCTTGACTTTAATTATAAACCTCATGTTCCGAGTTGTGTCTCATTCCCTGACCAGCAGATCCTAATTAAAATCTTTGTTCAAAGAGCAAAGAGGAAGGGGCTAAGTTAGGGCAACAAAGAGAGGAATTAATGCAGTGTCCCCAAGGGAACCACCACTGTCCTCTATGGCCAGGATAAGGGTCACCACACAGTGAGGAGCAGCAGTGGGGTAGCAGTTTGCTGTAGCAGGCGAGCTACCAATAATCTATTTTTCCACTTTAAAAAACAACACTCCCCCAGAAAGTATGTGAAACAAAGTTTTTCACTCTTGCATAAAATGAAAAGATGCTGATTCTTCCAAATACCAAGTAATCCAAAATTAATTTCATCTCACAGTTCAGCTTGAATTCTGTCCCAGCAGCCCAACACTTCTCTCATTCCCTCAAAACATTATTCCCTCATAAATGTTTGAATAGCTTTGGAAAGTAACCTGAAATGTATTTAACACCTCGACAGTTCGTATGCGTTATTACCCTTCTCTAACCTAGTCCCTGTGACCACTGTAATATTGAGAAGGTGATCAACCAGCTAGGGATATGGCAAGGAAGTCCCTCTRCTTTTTCTACTGACAAACAGAGAGGAATCATTTAGATGACTGAATTCAGCCTTCTGCAATTGTGGATAACCATGCAAGGATTTCTGCAAAATACCTAGTTCAAAGGCAACATCTTGTCTATATAACAGACAAGAAACGACAGCTCCTTTCCTCTAGGAAACTGCAGGATAGGGACCCTCTTAGACGTCTAAAGCAGCTGGAAATCCTTGGAGAGAGCACCTAGGTAATTCTAAGAAGCAGATCCTGTTCCATATTATAGGCATGACGACAGGGTAGAACCACATCCCAGTCCTCACTATGCACTTTGGGAAAAAAAAAAATCTCCCTTAACTCAGCCTTGGAAAGATCAACTTAATCTTGGGTATCACATAGCTGAGAATCCAAAGACCATAAAAACACCAGCATGTTTCTTCTGTGACCTACCTTCAGTATTAATAAAGACCTAAGATTACATTTCACACCCCTTCTGCTCCTCAAATGTAAGCAGAAGTGCAATATTGATCGAGCACTATCAGAACATTATTGATACAAYCCCAAATACAGAGGTTACAATGAGACCACATACTGGCAAATCCCAAGACTCGGATCTATGAGACAAGCTGTTCCTTAGAGCTACTCATAACAGACTCATAAATCATAAGAACAGAAGGATCATTAAAACACCTAAACCAAGTGTGTCTAACACAGCCCATAGCTTTTTTTCTCCACCAYTTCCTCTGCACTGAACTGACTAACTTCAGGTTAATTAAAGCATTTTCTGGAAAGGCGTTCAAAATTTAATGTAATGGCTTAATCRAGATCAGTCGGTCTTAGATCAGGCAAGCCAAAATGATGGCAACCTTTCTGGTTTGATTCACAAGAAAAGCTCCTTCCATCCAGTCACAGATTACTGGGCAGCTTTCAAAACATGATCAGAAAAGATATCTGGGCTCCTTGTGCTCATCTCTTCAGCACAGCCTTATTCATTCACAGATTCTGTGAATAACCTAGCTTGCAGTGGATCTCTGGAGATCATCTCCTCCAACCTTCCACTCAGAGCAGGTCCAACTTGATCAGGCTGCTCAGGGAGATTCGCCTTTGCTTTGAAAATCTTCAAGGATACACATTTCCCAATTTTTCTGGGCAATCACTCTGATATATAATCACCTTCATTGCAAAAGCACCTCTCCATAAGCCTAAAGGGAATAGCTTGTATTGCAACACGCCTGTTGCTTCGCACCCCTAAGAGGAGTCTGACTGTCGCCTCTGCACCCTCCACTAGGCGGGCAGCAATAAGACCTCTCCCTGATCTCCTCAGATACAGACTGAGCAAATTGGTTCCCTCTCTCTCTCCTTACACCAAACCCCTCATCTTACCTTGGTGGCCCTTCACTRAATCCAGTCTAGTATGTAAACATCCTTCTTGTACAGGGAACCCCAAACTGGACACACGGCTCCAAGATAGGCTTTCACAAAACAGGGAAAATTCTCTTCCCATAACCTGCTGGCAACACATGCTAACAGGGGCAGTTGGTCATCTTTGCTGAAGGACATCCTGCTGAGTCGCATTTAACTTGTCCTTTTCTGCAAAGCCTCTTTCTACTCACTGCCCCAGCTGCTGCATGGAGTTACTCCATCCCAGATGCACGACTTCACATCTGCTTTTGTTGATCTTCATGACATCTTCCTGCAAGGTTGCTCTGAACAGCAGCTCTAACTCCCTGTGCCTCAGCTGCTCCCCCAGTTTGATATCATCAATGATCCTGCTGAGAAACACTCCAACCCATCATCCAGGTAATCACTAAAAATATTAAACACCAGCCCCAGTACCAATCCTAAGAACCAGCAGCAATTTTCCAGCTAGATTTTGTACTGTTTGTTGAACTAAACTGTTTGACATCAGCCACCTGGCCAGATGTCTCTGCAACACTAATAAATTCTATYTGGTGGAGGTCCAAATATACTCCTGCCACCACACTTAGATTCTTAAATTTTAAGGAAGAAACTGAGAAAAAAAAAAGAATAATCTTCCTTTTGGTACAGAGTTGCACATAAATATTAACATATATAGTATGGATTATCTAGATTACAAAATAGGTTACGTTAATCAGGAGTTTAAAAAAAGATTTGATAATCAGCTGACAAATCTTGATCTGTTGGCAAGAGAAGTTGCAGAGGCAAAACTATGCTTTTATCACTGTGGAAAAGTTCTGCGTTAAGGGAGTAAGGCTAAATGAAGCTATTCTGGCTAAAGAACAGCTTTGCGATATGAGTTGTTTCCCTAAAAGTACGGCTGATGTTGTATATCAGTACAGTACTTTTTACAGAACATTCCTTCTGTAAATTCACAAAATGAATTATGAGATTGTTATTCCAGCTTATTCCAACTAAGCTTGGGAAAAGGTATTAACACATTTTGGAAAGTAAAAAACAAAAAGCGCATCCTCAAGAAAAAAAAACCCACATAACCAATATGAGCAATAGCTGAGTTTTTCATTGAGCTGTCAAGCCAAAATCTTGTCCTAAACAAATTCTTCATGTTCCTCAGGCTTTATCATACACTTCTCCCCCAACCTGCAAACTTGGGCATCTTTTACATCCCCCTCCTCAGGTAATACCAAGAATATAATTAGTTTGAAATTCAAACTATACATCATTGGCTGTTACGTGCAAGTTAACAAAGCACGCTTAAGAAAACTGCAACCCTGTACAGCATAAAAAAATAAACCCCAAAATGCTGTAAGGGTCACTATGAAAGTACCATTGTAAGGAATCTGCTCCTTGACACAACACGACCTTACATTAGACAATTTAACCAAATGATCTCCCTARACTCCCTCTGTAGTCAAAGAGAGGGCAACTCTGAACACCTGAAGTAGGTTCCTACTGTGAACTGCCTTTTATATGTCTATTTTTTTTAATTGTTTTTAAGTTAAGAACTCTATGTAGACCGATAATTTAGCGCAGCCTTCAACTTCTGTTTCTCACATACTCTTAAAAATGTTTACCAGCGAAAAAGGGCAACAGATGAAATCCCATAATTGCAAATATAAACTCATCCCCTTAGAGCACCACAGACCTTGATTTACTGCATACTTGTGATCCTCAATTTAAGTCATGCAGTCATATTGKGACTGTCTTTCCAGGTGTTTCATACTTCGTACCTAGAAAAGCTCCTTATTCCTGATGAGAAGTAACAGCAGGATCACAAAAGAAAACATTGAGATTTTGTGAAAAACTGTTGGCTAGATGGGATGGTAAGGATGAAGGGAAGAAAATCAGGCTCTCCCTGTGATGCAGAAGCAGGTTCAACACAGCCTACTGTATCTTGTTCTGAGCCAGCAGATGTCTGGATGAGTGTAATCAAACAGGTGGAAAGCATGGGACAAAAGTTTAAGTACCTCAGAAGCTGTTTTGGGGACTGGAGGAGAGGGAAACACACAGACTGTATTATAGCCTGTATTCATGTAATAATTTCTTTTCTCCACGTACTTTTTAAAACCAAAGAAATTTATGCTACAATACCATAAAATAATGATGGTTGACACAGACAATGAAGGTTGTTTTCCTTCAACTGTGCTGCTCAACAATAATAAAGATATCAGACTGCTGTACTGCGGGGATAAGAAATGGGCAAGTGGCCACCTCTATGCCTGTAACATACATGCAACTTTACAATTCTGGATATACTGGATCATACTGAACTTCGGAATGTTTGAGCTCTTTCACCACTTGAGATTATACTGCATGCAAGAGACAGAGAAGATGGACATATATACATAAAAGTTGCTTCCTTTATCTAAACAGAGAAAGCTGGGTCTACATACACATTCATTTGCATTCAGGTATATTTGTAACTAGTATAAAAACAAACTACTTACTTTGTAACTAGTACCTTATCAGTTGCTATTTTGCTGTACTAGTGCTCAGGGAAGAGAACATGATGGTTAAAATTCACATAGACCCGACCCATGGGAGACCTCTACACCTTTCTTCCAGGAAACTCCATTCTCCTTGGCGCTGTTTTCATGCAACAGACTCCGCCACCCACCGTACTCAGCTGGGAAGGGTATGTAAAGACATCCTCACCCCAAACTAACTAAGCCAGTTTAACAGTCATTACTTTCCAATGGTGTTTTTCTTAACTGGTTATATCACACATTCTGCCTCTATATATTAATATATTTATTTTATTGAATTCTCTGCTACTGATTGAGACAGCTCTTTCTTCCCAAGATTTCCTTCCCTTTGTTTATAAATACTAGGAAAGGAGTGGCAGGTACTGCTCAGTCAGGAATACAACCCACCCTGGCACGGACCAGTTGCATAAGATCACGCTTCTTTGTAAAGGACATGTTGGAGACAACTCTTCCCCAAGGGACTTTAAATAAGTTTGTCTGAATGTATTTTCTAAGAGTTGTAGCCCTGCGGCACAAATTGTAGTATTATATTGTAAAAAAATTATCTGAGCTCTAAAATTCAGTAGTTATATTGAAGCAAGTTACCTGGTAATTTAAAGACGAAGTGATCAGCTACTACGTGGCAGGTTCTCTTCCGCAGTATAAGAAGTTTAGCCATGAAATAGATATAGTCAACAGGAGTTGCTCCATGATAAAACACAACAAGCCCTGGTCCCTCTGGAATATTTTCTATACCATGAAGCTCATAACCTGTTAGGAGCAAAAGGTATAAGGGCTGTCAAAGTTTTAGATAATGCTATTCCAAAGAAGCTAACTTGCATCAAATTGGCAAGTTGGAATCAACAGCTATGGAGAAGCTGTCCAACAATTTTTAAATAGCTCCTAAGAAACCAAGGGGTTACTTGCAGCATTTACTAGCTTCCTTACATAGGAAAGAGCTTCATTTAAAACAGAAGAGCGACATTCAAAGGAGAAAAATAAAAGACAGCAAATAAAATAGCCTGTTGTCTGGAACTGCTATGCAATTTTACCTTGCTGCTTTATTTCACCACCTTAAAGGCTGGATATGTCCTCTGAATTCATTGTTCAAAAGAAATCAAAATAAGGACTGGATAGGTGGTGAAACAAAACTCTTTCAAGCTATTACCTGCCTTTCAAAGTCAGTTCACTGACATGAGTAACTGTTTAAGAAAGTCTGATGTGACAACATCCATTTGACTGTCTCCTTTTATTCCAGGAATGAAGCTCTTCTTTGTTATGTTATTTCTTTCAGCATTTCAGTTCCGCATTTCTCATTTCACAAGTTCTTTAATTCCACCTGTACTCCTGCTTCTTTGCCCACTGGCTATTTTACTTCCTACTCTCCTGGCTTTACAACACAGTATAGGCCTTCACTGGGGTATATCAGCTACACCATCAGAAGCAATCATTAGCTCTGGTCAATGGCAGGTGAGAAGAATGGTATGATCCCTATATGCAGCACGTGCAACAAATATGTAAAGAAACAGGTTTCACACACCACTTTGGCTTATTGTTTTTTTCAGTACTGTGGGATTCCAGGATGAAAAGTCTTCCTGTAATATGTCAATTAACTGAGTTGGGGAAAGAGGGAGGGCAAAAAAACTCACTCTGAAGAAAGCGCAGCATATACAGAACAGGGGAAGGGGCAAACAGGGCAAAGCAGAAAGAAGTCACACCAGTAAATGGGGGTCTTGATGAGAATCTTTTCCTGTGCAAATAAAAAGTCTGACTTGATTAAAAAAAGAAAGTTATTATGATGAAAAGAGCGAGGGCTTTAAAATCATTTTCTTATAAAAAAGTAAATAACTTTTCATTATGAAGTGAGCATTTTAAGCTTTTTGATATAGCTGTTGATTTTGATCTAACATACTTCTCTAGATTCAAAAGTTACATCGTAGCCTTACAAAGCCTATCTGATACAGCCACTTCACCATCTGGTTATCAATGCATTGAAAACCACCTCCTTTTGACTGCAGAACAAATAGAGAKGATTTTCAAGAAGGATTTGTTCTATATGTAAATTGCTCTTAAACATCTCTTTCTCCCTTAGYTGCATCTAGACTGAATGGTTCTGAAAGAGGCTTATGATTCCTTTAGAAAGAAAGGCCAAATCATTTATTACGTCTGCCTTTATAGAAGAAATAATAGCAGAAGGACGGGGAACAGATCCCTTAGTTTTCACATTCTTCTACTAGAGAAAGCAGTTGTCAAAAATACATACATGGAAATAAAATAAGAAAGTAGGCTCCAAAGGTACAAGCAACAGCTTTGGCCTCTAAAGTCAACACCAKCAATCGCTACAACTAATGAGCAAACAGTAAAAAGACTTTTAGATTTGGCCCATTTTGTTCTGCTTGCTAAAGAATTCCTACAGTCTTTCGTACTGGATTAATTTTTAAGACAGTTGTCATTCCTGGGCACTCCTGGAATGAGAAAATCCGGGAGTAGTTATTAAAAGTGGGGGAAAAAAATTAAACAATAAAGTTTTGCAAACTTTCAGCTGGATAAAGATCTCATTTTACCAGCAACGAAAGCATTAAAAAGCAAATTTTACATCCAAAAGATAACCCTCAGCTGCTTCTTTTCCTCCTTAATCAAAAACAAATGATGAATCAGCAATTTTGACAAACAAAGGAGGAAAAAAAAAAGAAAAAAAAAAAAAGACGAATTGGTCCAAATTTTAAATCCCATGAAAATGCAGCAAAACTCTGATGTATGTTGATAAGCCTGAAAGATAAATGCAGGAATAAGAGCTTCAAAACCTTTCGGTGAAAATTCAAGTCTTGCTTACCATGCCATATTCTTGCATGTCCATCCCATAGGGTAGCCAACATTTGCTTTGCACCATCCCAAAAATCATGGGAATAAGCTTCCTTTAATTCCTTCTTCCTTTTATAAATATGAACAAAGATAACGGAAACGTAGATGAAGAGGAGGACAACTCCAGGAAGTAGAAAAACTACCATAAGAGGAAAAAACAGCCACAGGAGGTAGGCTGCGTAGCTCAGGTAGTCCTCGATGTGCTCCACGCCAGTCCATTCTCTCAGCAAATAAGCCAGGCAGGTAAAGTAGGACATGGGGATCTGTCCCGCAGTACAGGATTCATTTCTATCTATCATCTCCTGTTTAATTAAAGGAAAAAAAAAAAAAAAAAGAGCAGATGAATAAATTCTCAAAAAAGGCAGGCATAAACCTACAGTTTTGGAGCAATATTCTTTTCCTTAAGTTTGTACAACTTGGAGAAAAACTCATAATTCACTTCACCTAACATGCATTAAACAGGCTGCACGCTTGAATGTCTATGCCAGAGTCCTAAGACAAAATAAGTAATACCTTGAAAACACACTTTTACACTAGGTTTTGGCCAAGAGTCAGGGCAACTACCAAATGTAGCAGCAGAAAAGGAAAGACAGTCTCCACCTTCAAAAAAGCATGGACTTGTTCAGAGTTAAGGCCCAATGCAGTTTATGTGCATTACTAACGAGTAAAGTTATTTTTCTCTGTCCTCTTTACAGCTGTCTGCTATACAACTGTCCAGGACAGTTTAAGTTACAGGAAACACCAGTGATGTCTCTCTGAATAGGGCCTTGTTTAAGCGAAGGAAGAGAGACTGTCCTGCCCTTCTTCCTAGTGTGCTTTTTGCACATCTGCCTCCATGTAAACCCAGAAATTAAGAGAGGGGTGCAGTACTCGGAGTCTCAACCTCATAATTTTACAGGCAGAATGCATCTGAAACATGGTCATACCTTTAAGGGCTGACTTCTTCTCGAAAACATTTCTTCTCATGCAGTCTGCGCTAAATATTTTTAATCTCAGTTCTAGCCTAGCACAGCAGCTTACATAGATTTGCACAAAAAAAAAAAAAAAATAAAATAAAAAGAACACAAGAGATGCAATTTCACATTTCCCTAATGACAGGGCACACAGTCTTACATTCTAGCTGTGGGCCCTGTGCTGATGTTGAAAGAACTGGAAACAAGGCTAACATAAGATCCCCTGCACCGATTTCCAGCGCGTGAGTCCCAGAAGCCCCTGCACGAACTAGAACAGAGGTTTCCAGCTGCAGACACSGAGACACTTGGGATATCCTGGCCATGCCACAAGAAGCGCTTAGGGAGAGCAACACATCCTGCTGCCAATGCGCGGTTTAGTCCTGATTTTACATGAAATGCCCGAGTGGAACTGGAAAAAAATATCCAATAACTCCAGGTTGAAAGACAGTGAAAAACAGGAGTTGCAACAGGGCGCGCTGAGGGGCACACGTTGCTTCTGTTGTGCCAGCCAGCTGCAGATCTCCCCAAGTCAGCGAGGCCACCAGGGCCAGGAGCAACAGGAGCGCCCAGTCCAACGGCCCTGGCACCGCAGCCTCCCCCCCTGCGGAGGCCCGACGTTCGCTGGGATCCTCGCCCTGCTTTTCGGGACAAGACGCAGCTTGCTTCCCGCTCCTGCGGTGCCTCCTTCCGTGGGAAGCGGGAGGAGAAGCAGCAGGGAATATTTCTCTTTCTCAAGGGGAACAGATCCCGCTCGGCCGGCCGAGCGGAGCCTTGGTGAGGGCGCCCGGGGGAGGCGGCCGCGCACCTGCCTCTACCACAGGCTGCTGCGCAGAAAAGGGGCGACTCGGGGGAGGATTTTCTCACCTTCGGGGCTGACCTGCAGGCGGGGACCCCCTCGCGCCCCTTCCAAACGCGTTTTAACGCCGCGGGGCGGGGGGCTCGGCGGTGACCCGCCCGCGGCCCGGGGAGGTGGGGGAAGATGGAGGGGGTCGTTCCGCGCCGTGGYCCGCAGAGCAGCCCCCAACGGCGCCCGCGCGGCCTCCCCGCGAGGGCAGCGGGGAGGCCCCTTCCCGCCGCCACCACCGCCGCCGCCGCTCACCTTCCCCTCGCCGCCGCGGCTCCGGCTCCAGCGCCGCGCGCCTCCTCGGGCCTGTTTTGACGTCTCGGCCGGCCGCCCCCGCGGAGGCCGGGTG